AAAAAGGTGGTGTAACTTGACACCACCCTTGTCCAAGTAGCTCCGCCCCTGCCAGAGATGACAATTCTGAGTTAGAATTCATTAGTTTTTTTAGGACACTTGCTGCACTTAATAAGGCATTGTGATGGGAGCAATCTTTTGATGGGATATCTCTGAACTAATACATAACTCATTGCATAGAAGAAAGCAATTTTGTTAATTATTGACCATGTCAAATTCTGATGCTGTGATGCATATACTAAATGATTTAACATGATTAGTAAACAAATCAGTGTCAGCGTTAATATGTATCTTCACACTTTGATTGATATTATACTGGCGTCATCCATACTTTTTTAACATCATGTCGGATTATTGTATACAGGATCACACCATAAATTAGGAGCACTTAGAAGAAACTTACAATGCACTGGTTAGTTTAAGACAATGATAGTGATAGTCATAGCTTCACAGTTGGCAACCAACATTTATAGGCATCAGTGTATCACTATATAGCGGGTCTTGGGAGTTGATGAACACACTTAAACAGGGAGACCAAGGTCACATTGCATGAGAAGAGAGTCTGAAATCAGATACATAGAACTTGATAGAACATGGTCCTAGAGAAGACATAGTGAATGTTTGTTGTGCAGTGGGGGAAGTTATTTATTGTCTTTGCTATTAGGATATTTCATGTAAAAATTTATGGCTGTTGCTCTGTTGTGTTTGCTCAATGGACTTTTATATCTTGTCTCGTTGCCTTTTCCAAAGTTCTATGCTTTCTACATTTATTGGAATATTCATTACCATGCTTGTATTGTAAGTGAACAATTAAATACTGTAACATGTTATTCTTCTCTGTAATTTATTTTAGCATAACACTAAGAGGCTACTGCATGATTTAATCATTTTTCAGGATTGCCTTCTTTGCCCTACTGGTTTTTCTGCTAACATGGCTTTCATGTCAGCTCTGGGAAGTGCCAGCTCCCTTTTGGTTGTTGGTAGAAAACCATCAAAAGATGAGAGAATTGCTATTTTCTCAGACGCCTTGAACCATGCATCTATAATTGATGGGATTCGCCTCGCTGAACGGCAGCAAGAAGTTGAAATTTTTGTATATAAGCACTGTGATATGGTTCATCTCAATTCTCTCCTGTATGTCTTCGTTTTTAAAGCAATTTAAAATTTCATTTTGCATATTTCACATCTCATGGACAACCAGAGTTATTATCTACAGATCACGTTGCAAACTAGAGAAGAAAGTTGTCATCACTGATAGGTAAGTTTTGTGTATCCTCAAGTTATAGTATTGAAGGCGTTTCCATGGTATATTCATGAAATTATAAGCATTATTAATTTATTATTTTTATGATGCAGTCTGTTTAGTATGGATGGAGATTTTGCTCCAATGCCCAAACTTGTTGAGCTTCGGAGAGAGCATGGATTTTTATTGGTAATTGATGATGTAAGTCTTGCTTGTGGCTCTAAATGATGTTCCAAAGTCATATATAGTATCCGTATTCCAATCATTGTCATGTTCAGGCTCATGCAACCCTTATATGTGGTGAGAATGGTGGTGGAGTCCCGGAACTTTATCAGTGTGAAAATGATGTTGATATATGCATAGGCACTCTAAGCAAGGCGGTTGGTTGCCATGGTGGTTTCATCGCTTGCAGGTAAAACATTGCTCGGTGGTAATAATGGAGCATCAATTTTTGACTATACAGGAAATAGTACCTCACTAAATGCTACTGCCTATTTTATTTAGTGTCTGCAAATTCGATGTTACTATTTATTTTCTTGTTAACTCTTTTTGACATGGCAAGACAACTTGTCAGAATTTTTCTGCAAAAGTATTCTCCTCACTAATCAAATTTCTTTCCAAAAATTTGGACCTCTTACTGTCAATCAGTATCAACAGTTCAGGTGAACTTTAGATGTCCATTCTCTCTAAACGTGTTAATGCAGTTTCTTATATTTTATACATGATTGGATGGAGAAGCTTTATTAGTATTGCATTTTATACGTGATGAATCCACCTGGAGAGGCATATCAATTACCACATTCCTTGAGGTGTTATTGTTGTTTGACCCACCAATATATTTATATTAGCCTTGTGTAGGATAAATATTTGAATAAGTTAAAAAACAGTTTTAAATCCTATTAACCATCACCTCAGGCCTGCAAAATTAGGGCCTTAAGAGTCAATCTTTGTTCACGGTCCATATCATATTTTAGAATCAGTTTGACGATTATCTTATTATTCAGCTAGAGAAGTACAAAAGATCTTAGTGTTGTGGTTGAAGGTGGTTAACACACACCCCACCCACCCCTCATCCTCCCCTAAAAAAGAAGAAAGAAATTGAAATTAAAAACAAATACTGACAAAAAGTGCATTCGACACACAAAAAAGACCTGGTCTAGCACTGCCAGTCTTTTATGTACAGTAAACCCAAAATTTATGTCTCCGGCTTAGCCCTAACCCTCTCACAGTTTGAGTTGGTTGGATCTAAAACTTAGGTCTAAAGATTTTAGGAAGGAAAAGGTGGTTGTATTAAATCCTACCTGCCCTGCATGTATCTTGATTTCTTGTAAGACTGATTTTAGGTCCCGTTCTGAGGTCGAAGAGGTTTCACTTCCCTTTCGGAGATAATTGTGAGTTTTATATATGATTAAACTATTCTGCAATGTGAGAAATAATTTGAACTTTTAATCTATTGTCTCAAAAGAATGTTATTGTCTAAATTATCGGATTGGTATTCTAACTTGACCCTACTTTCCAATATGGTATTTATTTTGCGCTGGCGTCAATATGATATTTTAATTTGTGCCCCGATGTCAATAAGACCCTTTTTTCTTGTTGGCGGTTGAGAATTCTGGCGAACTTTTTTTTTCTTTTTGGAAAAATATCCACCACTTTCCCCAATAAGATCCTCACTTGAGAGTTGAGCCCCCTCTTTCTCCTCCAACCTCTCCCAAGTCAAACCTAAACTCTAATTCAAGCTCAACAACCTCCATCCAAGTTGCTACCAATTTGTATTGGGGTTTAGGTTTTAAATGAGAGAGTTTGAAGGAGAAAGAGGGAGATCCATTGACGAGATGGAAAAAATAAGTGAAGGAGGATCTTATTAGATAAAAGGACTGAAGAAATTTGAATTAGGGGAGGTTGAAGGAGGAGGGTATAAGATTTAATAATTTTGATAGGTTAGAGGGATGAAAGAAATTTTCCCTAAAGAAATGTAGTTAACTGGAATTCTCTCTCCAATGAGAAAAAAGGGCCGCTTATTGTCCTTGGGGCACAAGTTAAAATGCCATATTGGCACCAGAGCAGAAATAAATACCATATTAGAAAATATGATCATGTTAAAATACCAATCTGGTAATTTATCCTATAGTTACTCGTCATTACAATTATTCTAGAACTATTTTTACTTATGATGTATTTTCGTTAATAAGGTGAGTTTATTTAAAACCCTAAACCCGTGAAATATGATTTAAGACCATGGTTAACTTAGCAGCGTAGATGGCAGTTGGGCTAGAGAGACTTAGCCAGAGAATCTCGAGGACTAATATTTCAGTAAGATTTTTTGGGGTGTGCATCTGAAAGTTGTAAAAAATGAAGGTTTCTAGCTGAAGAAGCAGTACAAAGTTTCTCATATGAAAACTGATGCCGATTATGAATAATTTTGTCTCCTTTAATGCATCAAATAACTTTTTTTTTTCTTTGTGTGCAGCACTAAATGGAGACAACTCATACAGTCTAGAGGACGGTCTTTTATATTTTCAACTTCGATTCCAGTGCCCATTGCTGCTGCAGCCCATGGTAATGAATGACTAAGAACTTTACACTTCATATGCATCAGCATGCATACAGAAGCTAGTTTTTTTCTTTTTCCCTGAGGTTCTCTTTTTCAAGTAAAACTTAGTGAGTATCTCTTATTTGTTTCAAGAGCTACATCTCCTTTCGAGCTTTTCATAAAAAAATTTGGTGTTATACAGAAGTACCTGCATTATATAAGATCGTATTTTGGAATATGTTAGATGTTTGCCTAATTATGACTGGGTAGCGGACAGATACAGGTAACTTACACATTGGGAGCTATCATGAAGATCCGAATCTAGTTGGATTCTACTTTTTGTTTCTGAAGTTATAGTTGGAATTGAAACCCTAATCTTATTCATGAGATAACATGGGCTTATATAGGCCCCTACAACTTACAAATAAGCCCCTAAACCTATTAATATTTCAACACTCCTCAAGATGGGCGAAAGATATCCACTAAGCCCATCTTGTCACATCCTCTAATCATATCTACTGAGCTAAGTCCCTTAGTCAGACAATCTGCTGCCTGATCCTTAGTTGGAACATGACTTAACTCCAGTAGTCCATTGTCCAACTTCTTTTTGATGAAGAACCTATCGATCTCGATGTGTTTGGTTCTATCATGCTGCACTGGGTTGTTGGCGATACTGATGGCTGACTTGTTATCACACCACAGCTTCATCTTGGCTCCTTGATCCAGCTCCAGCTCCACCAACATACTCTTTAACCACAATAACTCTGCAACTCCTAAGGCCATGGCTCTATACTCTGCTTCAGCTGTTGATCTCGCTACCACCGATTGCTTCTTGCTCTTCCACGAGACCAAGTTACCTCCTACAAAGATACAATATCCTGAGGTGGATCTCCTGTCATCAGCACAGCTAGCCCAATCAGAGTCGCAGTCAAAGTCGCAATAACCCTCGATGCTCACATGTCCATTCTTTCTGAATATCAGCCCCTTTCCGGGGGCACTCTTTAAATATCTCAGAATCTGGTACACAGCGTCCATATGACCCTTCCTCGGATCGTGCATGTAGCGACTCACCACGCTCACTACAAAAGAGATATCAGGACGTGTGTGACTCAAATAGATCAATCTTCCCACCAGCCTCTGGTATCTGTCACGATCAACAGGTTCTCCGGCCTCAGCACCTAGCTTGAACTTCTGGTCGATCGGTGTAGTTGCAGGTTTGCACCCTAATAACCCTGTCTCTTTGAGAAGATCTAGTGCATACTTTCTCTGGGATTGGATGATTCCCTCCGCTCCTCGAGCTATCTCTATTCCAAGAAAGTATCGAAGCAAGCCAAGATCTTTCACCTCGAATTCCTTACCCAGTCTCATTTTGAGTTGGGCAATCTCCTTTTCATCATCCCCTGTAATAATCATATCATCAACATATACCGCAAGCATGGTAATGTGGTCTCCACTCCGTCGAAAGAACACGGTATGGTCGGCGTTGATCTGTTGGTACCCCATACCAATCATAGCCCTTCTGAATCTGTCAAACCAAGGACGAGGAGACTGCTTCAGCCCATAAAGAGACTTCTTCAATCTGCAGACCTTTCCCACTCTCTGATCTGTACCAAATCCTGGTGGTATCTCCATGTATACCTCCTCCACTAGATCTCCATGAAGAAATGCGTTCTTCACATCTAGTTGGTGTAGCTTCCATTCACCATTTACTGCCAGAGAGATTAAGGTCCGAACAGTGCTCATCTTTGCCACCAGTGCAAAAGTCTCATCATAATCGATGCCATATGTCTGACTATACCCTTTTGCCACCAGACGAGCCTTGTAGCGCTCAACTTGTCCATCTGGATTCTGCTTCACAGTGAAGACCCACTTGCACCCAACTGCTCTCTTCCCTTCTGGTAATTTTACTAGCTCCCAAGTGCGGTTTTTCTCAAGAGCTCCTAGCTCCTCATGCATAGCTGCTTTCCACTTTGGATCCTTCTTAGCAACCTGCCAATTGTTAGGTACAGTAACAGAGTCCAATGATACAATGAATGCCCCATGTGCAGGGTGGATATTAGAATATGATACAAACTGGGCAAGATCCCAACCATATCTATCGGGAGGATGTCCCGCATTGCTGCGAGTAGTCCTCCGTACTGATACTGGTGTGGGAGGAGTAAGGGGAGGATTGATATCACCTTGGAAGGAATCTGATGGTGGTGTAGGTGTCTCAGGAGTCGGGACAGGCGTTGATAAGGGACTTGGCACTAGTGGTACTGTAGGTACTGTTTCTGCAATTTGCTTCCCCTTCCTACTATAGGTAAGTAGCTCCCTCTGAGCCGTGGGCCTAACACCTCCTGTCTCCTTATCCTCTTCTTCTTTATTCTCCTGCCTAACACCTCTTGTCTCCTTATCCTCTTCTTCTTTATTCTCCTGCTCCTCCTCAACCAATTCTCCTTCCCAAGGAATCGTTAGAGAAATTGATTTCTCTATATTATTCTGCCTCTCACCATTCTCCCCTTCTCGCCTCATACTTCCAGTATTGGGCGAGTCACCAACGGATGAGGGTACCTTCTGTGTGTAATATGGCTCAAATTCACGAAAGTACACATCCATACTTACGAACAGCCTTTTCTCCACCGGGCTTCAGCAAACATATCCCTTTTGAGTAGCAAAATATCCTACAAAAATACACTTCATCGCTCTAGAGGCAAGCTTCCCGACTGATGGTCTGTTATCCTTCACAAAGCACACACAACCAAATACTTTCAGTGGAAGAATCCCACCATTATCTCCTTTCAACGTCTCACACGGAGACTTCCAATCCAGTACTCTTGAGGGCATTCTGTTGATCAGTGCCGCTGCAGTCAACACTGCTTGCCCCCACAATGTTTCTGGAACATTCATGGAGATCATCATACTTCTAGCAACCTCTAAAAGATGTCTGTTCTTCCTTTCTGCTACCTCATTCTGAGCTAGTGTGTATGGACACGTAGTCTGGTGTTGTATTCCCTGAGATGACAAGTATTCTCCAAACACTCTGTTGGTGTATTCTGTCCCATTATCAGATCTCAATACCTTCACCACTGCTTCATATTGAGTCTGAACATTCTTATGAAAGTTTTGAAAGCAGCCAAACACTTCACTCTTATTCTTCATCAGGTATAACCAAGTAACGCGAGAGAAGCAATCAATGAAGGTAACAAAATACTTGTATCCATTCATAGAACTTGTGGAACATGGCCCCCACACATCTGAATGTATCATATCAAATGCATGAGAACTCCTATGATCAGAACTAACATAAGAGCTTCTAGTAAGCTTTCCCAACTTACATGCATCACACACAAGTTTTTTTTTATTTACTTTCTCAAATAAAGATGGATACAATCTACTTAAAACACCGAAAGAAGTATGTCCCAAGCGTTTGTGATGAAATATCAACACACTCTCAGCACTCATCTCAGATCCTACTTCTGCTCTCTCTACCATTGACATCAAAGCTGAATCTAGCCCTTCACGATCCAGATACCACAGTCCATTACGCCATGTGCCAGTCCCAAGTCTCCGTCCTGTCCCCTTCTCCTGAAAGATCACCTTGGGAATATCAAAAGAAACAATACATTTTAGTTGGAGGATGATAGAACTAATGGATAAAAGATTGACTGGAAAGGAAGGAGCATGCAACACATTGGACAAAGTTACAGAACCAGTACAATCGACTGTACCCTTACCAACCACCGGCTGAAATGTACCATCAGCTGTTTGAATACTATCAGGCGATGCTAAGTGAGTATATGATGAGAACTCACTAGCATTACCTGTCACATGACGAGACGCACTGGAGTCGACTATCCACTCTGATGATCTGTTGGGAGACATAGAAGCAAGAGCATGTATGTCATCAGTATCTCTGGTCGGATGAGCATAGGTAGCAGTGTTGCCTCTGGCGAAGAACGAAGTGGATGCCTCCTCAGTCCCACTCCTTAAGTCTCCATCCCCTGCTACTTGCTGTTTTTTCCTGAGTATCGTCAGGAGAGCACGATCCTCCTCTGTAAAGACCACCTCAGCTTCTTCTTCCTCTGCTACCGTCAGATTCGCCCGATTCCCTGCTCCTCTTCCACCTCGTCGACCCCCACGGCCACGACCACGAGCTCCGAACTGTCCACGTCCACCCGGATCTCCTTCCTTGGGTGGCTTGGTGCAAGCATGCCTTAGATGACCCACCGCACCGCAGTTGTAGCACTGTCGAGTCTCTCCCCTAGATCCAGTGCTGCTTGAGGCTGCCAGTGCTGACTTCACCACAGGAAGTCCACCTGTCCCCGCCTACAGCCGAATGCGAGTCTCCTCCTGGATCATAGCAGAGACAGCCTCCTCCAGCGTGAGAATCTTCGGCTGAGCTAGCAGCAATGCGATTCGCTGAGTGAACTCTGATGTCAATCCCTTGAGAAACAAATGCGATTCGCTGAGTGAACTCTGATGTCAATCCCTTGAGAAACACCATAGTCCTCTCCTGTAGAAAGACCTCCCGCTCTTTACATCCCGGGTCCTTGCAGCTAGCCCGGGGGGAAAAGTGATCATAATCCAGCCACAGGCGCTCCAACTCTGTAGCATATTTCTGTACAGTCCTCTCTCCCTGGACTGTGGCGTCGATCTCTCCTTTAATCTGGAATACCCTCAGGTTATTCCCCACTCCATCATATGTCCTCAACTTCTCCCAGACGTCCTTCACCTTCTCAATGCCATCTACCGTGGCAGCGATCGTTGGGACCAACGAGTTAAGGAGCCAGATGTATACCAACATATGAGTGGCCTTCCACTCATCTCTTCCCTCCGAGTCCTCTGCCGGCTCTGTCATCTCTCCTGTCAGATAACCCTCCAGATTCCTCCCTGCAAGGGTGTATCTCACCCGCCGCGACCAGCTCAGGTAAGTATTCGCGTGTGCGATCAAGCTCAGATCGATGGTCGAAGCTCCAACTTCTTCGATGGTTGTCTAGCGCTCTCACAGCCGACACACTATCATTAGCTTCATCAAAGTTGATACAACCGGCACTCGAGGTTCAACTTTTGATATCTCCTCCATCGAAAAGCTTCAGACCCACCACCCTGCTCTTCCGACCCTTGCTTGTGGGGCAGTGAAATGTGCCGGGCAGCACTCTGCTGCACAACAAGAGTAGGATCTCAAACAACATTCTCCGTTTGCTCAGAGGAAACAAGAACAAAAACAGTTATACTATCTCATCGCTGTGCAGATACTATCCTACTTCCTGTCATCAGTTCGAGGATTGAGTCGAGGAATTCCATTGTCAAAAAGCTCGAGGTTCGACACGGAGCCAGCACAAGCGGGGGGGTGGTCAAGAGTGATGAGGCGGGGGCGGTGGGCGCGGGGCTGCATCCGAAGCTGGGGCGGGGAGGGCTATCGTGGTCAACAGAGCAGGGAGGTTCGGAGGGAGGGCTGAGTTGTTGATCGAACAGGAGGGGAGGTCGGTTGTCTGGGGGGTGACGTTGTCGAACAGAGAGGGGGGGTCGGGTTTTTGGTCGGAGGGGGGGGCTGATTTGTTGTCGAACCAGAGAAGGGGCGACAGCAGCGTCGGTTTCGCCGGGGGGGGTGTGGGCATCGAAAGAGTCTCATCTCCGGGGGTGGCTGATCCGAGGAGGGATAGGGCGAGGCCGGTGTGAGGGAGAGAGGAAGGGCCGCGTGGGCGTCTAGGGTTAGGGTTTTTTTTGTGGAGGCTCTGATACCAAGTTGGAATTGAAACCCTAATCTTATTCATGAGATAACATGGGCTTATATAGGCCCCTACAACTTACAAATAAGCCCCTAAACCTATTAATATTTCAACAGTTATTAAGACTGGAACTGATACTCGACGATTCATAGATGAGTAGATCCCAATTGTTTTTTATTAGTTTCAGATTCTCTGAACTATCTTGGGGAAAATCTAGATAGTTATTAGACACCTTAATAGATAGTGAAGTAATACAATATGCATTAAAATGATCATTGGTCAGCCTCGATGATAAAGATGGATAAGATCTTGAAGAGCAACCAAGAAAGAGATCATTTTCTTTCATGTGAAATGCCACCTTTTTGGATCGTTGTATTTGTGCATTTGTAACTGCAGCTCTAATTGCATGTAAAAAGTATAGTAAATGCTTATGTGCCTTTCTTGCAAACTCAGGCATTCATTCCACGTATTTCCTCCAATGTTAGTTCAGTTTCTGAAATTATTATTATTTTGCAGCTTCCCTCGTCATCGCAAGAAAAGAGAAGTGGCGAAGAAGAGAAATTTGGCGTCGGGTGCATGACTTCAATTCTTTAACTAACCTTCATATTACTAGTCCTATAATTTCTATAGTTGTTGGCAGTGAAGAGTCAGCACTGACTGCAAGCAGGTTTTTCTTCTCTTCTTCTAGAAGCCTATGTTCAGTTGTCTACTTGGAGTTCATATCAAATAGTCTAGAAAGATCTCAAGCTACAAACTAGCTTTTATATTCTCAGTGTTTGCTGTCTGCTATCACCATCTTCAATGAGATCCATAGTACAAAATCTATCAACTGCTTTATACCAAGGATAAATTTCACAAAACCCCCTTGAATTTTAGGGGATCTTGCACAAGCTTCAGAAATTACTTATTGCCTGTCCCATTCCGGATAATATAGAAATTATATTTAGTAGATAAGTGTAACGCTGTCCAGAAGTTGTCACGTGCAGAGCACTTGAATTCTTGTCATCATTGTCAGTCCTGCTATTTAAGGAGTCTATGGTTTGTAAAGTTCAGAGTATGTGGTGCGAAAGTTCAGGGGGTTCTTTGAAATGTACCCTTACATTAATTTTCCGATCCTCAATGACCAACTGCACCATATGCATATTGTCGAACAATTATACCTGCTTTCTTCGCAAGTTTTTAGATGCATGGACCTAAATTCTATTTAAGAGGAGGTGTTTTATTTACTGAGTAATTGTGTTCAAAATATTGCTTATTTTGTATCAGGTACATGTTAAAATCTGGTTTCCACGTAACAGCAATTAGACCTCCGACAGTCCCTCCAAATTCTTGCAGGTGAAGGCCGTATATTGACAATAATATGTTTTTTTTAAGTTTTCAAACTGATAATTTGGCTTTTAATTGTCTCTTTCTTTTGCGTAGGTTGAGGATAACTCTGAGTGCTGCACATACCTCTGATGATATTAGAAGGCTTGTCAATGCATTATCTCAATGCATCGAGCTCCCTCATATCGAAGAAGAGAGTTGTCAGATAGTTTCTAAGCTTTAGAATAATGAATCGTCGTCTTTGATATGAAATTTAAAATTATTTAGTTTTATTGAGATATTGTCAGTCATATTAACTGGTTTGCCAGTTATAGGTTTATCTAGTAAATGAAATAATGTTTTGGATTTAAATATAAGCTGCGATATATTTCCACCGAGATCTGAGTGAAGACAAAAACAGTGTAGAGGGCCCTCTATAGAAAATCACACAGGGAAGAGAAACTGCACTTGTTTCAACAACAATTTTGAAATTATTGATTGCACTGATTCGGATTCATGTACTATGTTTATTGATTTTATATATTATATGTTTATTGATTTTATTGGGTTTTTTGAGATATTAGTTCCTATTTTGATAGTAGTCCCTCATATCATCATACGTTGAATACTAGTCCCTCAAATTGTATTAGTGTGTTGATATTAGTCCTGTGGTTATAAATGCGGTGGAATATTGTGTTATTTTTAACCATTGCGTTTATAAAAGCAAAGATTTATTGGACAGTTATTTGAACAAGGTTTTACATTTTGGTTCTTTGATGCCGTGGTTCAGAAAGATGTTGTTTCAACCTAATATAGAGGTTGAAACTTTATTGCAGGAATTATCAAAAGAAGAAAAGAGGACCTCTTCAAGTGTGAAGGATGGTATATATTTGTTTCTCCATCCGCTAATGTGTTTATTTCATGTGGATACAGTTAAATGTCCATAACTGTCATAAATGAACAAAATTTTAGGGAAAAATGTGTCCAGGCCTCAAAAGCAAAAGCTTCATGTGACGAGGTCTCTCATAGTTTCCCCATGTGGATCAGCCCCTTGAAGTGTGACACTTTGTACTACAGCCTCTTTTTAATAATTATTACATGCTAGCAAAGCTAAAATCCTCAAATTATCCTTATCCTCTCTCCTCAATTCCTCAAACCAGCTCTCTCTCTCTCTCTCTCTCTCTCTCAAACCAAGAGCTTTCTCAAGCTCGTTGCTCTGGCCCTCGCCTTCCTCGCCGTCGCTGCCTCCGCCTGGGCCCCAAGCGCTCTCATCTCCCCTCTCTCTCTCCTCTCTCCTCTCTCTCTCTCTCAAGCTCTCAAGCCTCATTCCTGCCCGCGACTACGCCCTTCACGACGACATCGGGCTCCAGATCCGCGCTCTAGCTCGCGAGTTGGGCCCTCGAGTTCCCAACCACTTCCCCTCCTCTCCTCCGTCCTATCTCGTCGCCGTTGCTCGCCGCCGCTCCCCGTCTCGCCCTTGACTACGCCGGAGTTCGCCACTGTCGCTAACTGCCTTGCCCTCGAGTTCGCCATCAACGTTGTTGGATGCCATCAACGTTGTCGGGATGCCATCAACCCGGATGCTTGCCAAGAAGAAGCTACATGTCTTCAACAACTTAGACTAACATATATCGCATCACATGTCGATCGTGCCCAGCATCAACTTTCACGATAACAAATGTTTTTTTAGCTTTTTCAATATTCAGGAGAACAAAGTGATGTTGATTCTGATGGTAATTAATCAAAATATTATTTAAGCTTGCATCTAAACCTTTGAATTCCTCTCTTTTGGACTTGGGCTCTTGGGCAATGAATTGGTCGGAGTAGATTCTCCATTCGATTGCGTTTATTTGGCAATGAATTGGTCGGAGTAGATTCTCCATGCTAGTTCTAGCCCGCACTATGTTAGTTATAGCTGGTTCTAGCTCTAATTCATCTTAGTTCTAGACTCTTGGGCCCTCAAGTTAGTTCTAGCCCGCACTTTCTTAGTTCTAGCTCGTACCATGCTAGTTCTAGCCCGCACTATGTTAGTTCTAGCAAGTTGGGGAAATTAAAACTAACAATATTCGAAGCGATATAACAAGATGTAGAAAATGAGCCCAAGTGAAAGGAAGATACCGTATGATAGACAATATAAAGGGCTACACACCGTCTAAGACGGTGGTGAAAACGGAGACCGGAGGTGGCAGGAAAACGCGCGCGAAGTCGGCACGACGCTACTGTTTTCTGCTCGCTGCTACCGTCGATCGATGTTTCGGATGTTACCGAGAGAGATAGAGAATGGGTTAGAGCGTGATACAAATTGGAAGTGATAGGCAACATGTAGGGCTACTCACCAAAGAAGAAATCGGCGGAAACAGAGATTGGAGGTGATTGGAAAGTGTGTGCGAAGTCGGCACAAAACTGCAGTTTTCTGCAGTGCAATTTCTCGCCGTCCGGGTTTGTTCTTCGCTGTTTGGAGCTTTTCAATGTTGTCCGGGCTTGTCGGAGGTGGGAGGAGGTTGCCGGGGTCGTCGGGGTGTCTCGGTGGGCTCCGTCGGAGGTGGGAGGAGCTTTTCTCCATTCCCAAGAGCCTAGAACTAAGATGAATTAGAGCTAGAACTAGCTAGAACTAACATAGTACGGGCTAGAACTAGCATGGTGCGGGCTAGAACTAAGAAGGTGCAGGCTAGAACTAACTTGAGGGCCCAAGAGCCTAGAACTAAGACGAATTAGAGCTAGAACTAGCTAGAACTAACATAGTGCGGGCTAGAACTAGCAAAGTGCGGGTTAGAACTAAGAAGGTACGGGTTAGAACTAATTTGAGGGCCCAAAAGCCTAGAACTAAGATGAACTAGAGCTAGAACTAACATGGTGCGGGCTATAACTAGCATGGTGCGGGCTAGAACTAAGAAGATGCGGGTTAGAACTAACTTGAGGGCCCAAGAGCCAAGAACTAAGATGAATTAGAGCTAGAACTAGTTAGAACTAACATAGTGCGGGCTAGAACTAGCATGGTGCAGGCTAGAACTAAGAAGGTACGTGTTAGAACTTACTTGAGGGCCCAAGAGCCTAGAACTAAGATGAATTAGAGCTAGAACTAGCTAGAACTATTGAGGGCCCAAGAGCCTAGAACTAAGATGAATTAGAGCTAGAACTAGCTAGAACTAACATAGTGCGGGGTAGAACTAGCATGGTGCGGGCTACAACTAAGAAGGTGCGGGTTAGAACTAACTTGAGGGCCCAATAGCCTAGAACTAAGATGAATTAGAACTAGAACTAGCTAGAACTAACATAGTACGGACTAGAACTAGCATGATGCTGGCTAGAACTAAGAAGGTGCGAGTTAGAACTAATTTGAGGGCCTAATAGCCTAGAACTAAGATGAATTAGAGCTAGAACTAGCTAGAACTAACATAGTGTAGGCTAGAACTAGCATGGTGCGGGCTAAAACTAAGAAGGTGCGGGTTATAACTAACTTGAGGATCCAAGAGCCTAGAACTAAGATGAATTAGAGCTAGAACTAGCTAGAACTAACATAGTACGTGCTAGAACTAGCATGGTACGAGCTAGAACTAAGAAGGTGCGGGTTAGAACTAACTTGAGGGCCCAATAGCCTAGAACTAAGATGAATTAGAGCTAGAACTAGCTAGAACTAACATAGTACGGGCTATAACTAGTATGGTGCGTGCTAGAACTAAGAAGGTGCGGGTTAGAACTAACGTGAGGGACCAAGAGCCTAGAACTAAGATGAATTAGAGCTAGAACTAGCTAGAACTAACATAGTGCGGACTAAAACTAAGAAGGTGCGGGTTAGAACGAACTTGAGTGCCCAAGAGCCTAGAAGTAAGATGAATTAGAGCTAGAACTAGCTAGAACTAACATAGTACATGCTAGAACTAGCATGGTGCGGGCTAGAACTAAGAAGGTATGGGTTAGAACTAACTTGAGGGCCCAAGAGCCTAAAACTAAGATGAATTAGAGCTAGAACTAGCTAGAACTAACATAGTACGGGCTAGAACTAAGAAAGTACGGGTTAGAACTAACTTGAGGGCCCAAGAGCCTAGAACTAATATGAATTAGAGTTAGAACTAGCTAGAACTAACATAGTGCGGGCTAAAACTAACATAATGCGGGCTAGAACTAAGAAGGTACGGGTTAGAACTAACTTAAGGACCCAAGAGCCTAGAACTAAGATGAATTAGAGCTAGAATTAGGCAGAACTAACATAGTGCGAGCTAGAACTAGCATGGTGCGGGCTAGAACTAGCATGGTGCGGGCTAGAACTAAGAAGGTATGGGTTAGAACTAATTTGAGGGCCCATGAGCCTAGAACTAAGATGAATTAGAGTTAGAACTAGCTAGAACTAACATAGTGCGAGCTAGAACTAACATGGTGCGGGCTAGAACTAAGAATGTGCGAGTTAGAACTAACTTGAGGGCCCAAGAGCCTAGAACTAAGATGAATTAGAGCTAGAACTAGCTAGAACTAATATAGTGCGGGCTTGAACTAGCATGGTGCGAGCTAGAACTAAGAAGGTTCGGGTTAGAACTAATTTGAGGGCCCAAGAGACTAGAACTAAGATGAATTTGAGCTAGAACTAGCTAGAACTAACATAGTGCGGGCTAGCTAGCATGGTGCGGGCTAGAACTAAGAAGATGCAGGTTAGAACTAACTTGAGGGCCCAAGAGCCTATAACTAAGATGAATTAGAGCTAGAACTAGCTAGAACTAACATAGTGCGGGTTAGAACTATCATGGTGCGGGCTAGAACTAAGAAGGTACGTGTTAGAACTAACTTGAGGGCCCAAGAGCCTAGAACTAAGATGAATTAGAGCTAGAACTAGGTAGAACTAACATAGTGCGGACTAGAACTAGCATGGTACGGGCTAGAACTAAGAAGGTGCGGGTTAGAACTAAATTGAGGGCCCAAGAGCCTAGAACAAATATGAATTTGAGCTAGAACTAGCTAGAACTAACATATTGCCGGCTAGAACTAGTATGGTGCGAGCTAGAACTAAGAAGGTGCGGTTAGAACTAACTTGAGGGCCCAAGAGCCTAGAATTAAGATGAATTAGAGTTAGAACTAGCTAGAACTAACATAGTGCGGGCTAGAACTAAGAAAGTGCGGGTTAGAACTAACTTGAGGGCCCAAGAGCCTAGAACTAATATGAATTAGAGTTAGAACTAGCTAGAACTAACATAGTGCGGGTTAAAACTAACATGGTGTGGGCTAGAACTAAGAAGGTACGTGTTAGAACTAACTTGAGGGCCCAAGAACCTAGAACTAAGATGAATTAGAGCTAGAATTAGGCAGAACTAATATAGTGCGGGCTAGAACTAGCATGGTGCGGGCTAGAACTAAGAAGGTACGGGTTAGAACTAATTTGAGGGCCCATGAGCCTAGAACTAAGATGAATTAGAGTTAGAACTAGCTAGAACTAACATAGTGCGAGCTAGAACTAACATGGTGCGTGCTTGAACTAAGAATGTGCGGGTTAGAACTAACTTGATGGCCCAAGAGCCTAGAACTAAGATGAATTAGAGCTAGAACTAGCTAGAACTAATATAGTGCGGG